GCCCCTTTTGTTCCTTGTTGTTCGGTCCCCGCGTTTGTGTCGTGTCCTCGCGTCCGGGCGACATGCCGACAACGTGGTCTGGTGACCCTTCTGACAGGTTTGACGGCGAGGCCGTTCGCTCCTGTTGCTGTTCTTGCCGCTGCCGCCGCTTTGCACTGACAGAGCTCGTGTCGGAGGTGATCGTCAGTGAGGCCATCAAAGTAGGGGGCAGGCTCAGCGTTTCAGAGCGCTAGCGTGTGGTTGGAGACTGAGAGAAAAGGGTTGGAAGAGGGAAGAAAAAAAAACCCTTGGGTTGCTGGGACGAGAAGACTGGAAAAAAATCATAAAAGGGGGGAGGGGAGGGGGGGCAGGTCAGAAAGGAGTGAGGTTGGAAGGGGGGGCCCAGTCGGTGTCAATCCAGACCAACACCCCCCAGTGGTTGGACTCTGGATTCCTGGAGTCGTGGTGGGTGTGCTGCAGCTGCCAAAGAGACTGACTGACGCGGCGCTGAGGAGCCTGTTGGAGCCTGCCTGGCTTATGTTGCTGGGCTTGCCTGGGACAGATCGGTATCCATACGGAGTACTCTGACCATGGCTAGGCGCGAGACAGACGGGCCTGGCACTGGCAGACTGGGACGAAGGAGGAAGAAGCGAGCGGAATGGCGGAATGGGTCGGCAGGTCGTGGGTTATGGGTAGCGTTTGTGGTAGCGGCACCCGTACGAGGTAGCGCCGCCAGTGGGATTTTGCATTTGGTTGGCGTCCAGATGGTCTTGACACGGCCCACGGCCTATTACCCGGCTGGATTTTTGGAGGGTTTTGGGCTGAGCTGTCGCGGGATGCAGTGCGGTATCCGTAGTCCATACTGCGCGGTATAGGCCAACGAAGACGCGCCATTCGTTCCGATTCCTCTGTTTGAGTGCATGGCTTGAGCGAATGAGATCGTCGTCATGCTCCTGTCAGATGTGGTTGGTTTCGCCGTCAAGTCAGTATTGTAGTTGTTGTTGCTGCTGAGTGCTGACCCGTCGCGTTGCGAGGCCGTGGCTAGTAGTGATGAAAAGAGTGTCGCATTCTGACAAGTGTGTGAAGGCCGTGTTCGTGGTAGGGGAAGCGGAAGGTCAAGGTCGCAATTTGTCCACAGGTCCGAAATGAAAGCGAGCAAGAAAAAAGAGCTTGCGATCGTAGTGGATGATCACGCCGGGTTGCGTTGACGGAAGAACGAGGGAGGACCGACTGGAAAAAAGTGTGGCCATCAGGGATGGGCCAGGAAGGTAAGCGAGTCGAGTTACAGCTGGCAGGGGGGGCATCGACGGAAAAAAAAAAAAAGAAAGGGAGAAATAAAAAATAGAAGCGCAAGAAAGCAGGCTCCGTCCGGGCAACAAAGTACAGAAAAAAAGAGGATGGCAGATGATGATGACATAGGATCCATCAAGGAGGACATCCCAGCCTCTATGGTGAAGAGAAGTCCAAAAACTGGCCAGTGGCAGGTTGGCAGCTGTGAGAAGGGGCAAGTGAGAGGCAAAGCAACGCAAGGAGAGGCAAGATTCAATCCAAGAAAAAAGACTGGAAGGCGTGAAAGGGTAAGTAAGCACTGGCCAGAATGCATTGTCGCAGAAAATAAGAAGAGCGACTTTGGGTGAAAATCAATGGATTTCACAATGCAAAGTAGAGAGACCTGGGACGCGGTGTTGCGATACTTCAGGGGCTGGGGTGGTCACAGCAGGGGTACATGGGGACAGGAAGGAGATAAAATGAAGATTTTCCAAGGTGCTGATTGGGTGCATGCCCTTAGCGTGGCCGCTAAGCACAAGCAATGTCAAGCAGGACCAACCGCCACGGCGCACTGGCTGCCTGGGGCCCCTGGGTTGTGTGGCAGGGGGGTGTCGTTGGGGCGACTGCTCAGGTAGGCCATGGCCAAAATTATAAAGAGGCAGGCCTCCCTCCAACCCGCTTGTTTCGAAATTCTTGCGCGGAAGCTCCGATCGACGGCCTTGCGTAGTCACCCACTCACCTCGGCCTTTCTAATTTTCCTTCTCCACCCCCACTCAATCCATCCCCAATCCTCCAATCACGACTCAGAGATACGATTTTCCATCGTCCTTGTCGTCATCGTCATCGCAACATCACAAGTCCGATATCCACGATAGACACATCTGCTGTCATCAACCTACATACTCTACTTCCTCGCGATCCTTCTGGATAACAAAGCTCGCTGCCGCGACTCCTGTTTCCACATCACGGAAGTCGACTTTTACTCTCTCTTCCTCTCCCTATTAACCAACCGACGAATCCGTCAACCCTCAGAAACCCCCAGGCGGAATACCTTCTTAATTGAAAGTGTCCCCCGGATCTCGTACTCTGAGACGAGAAAAGAACTGGAATACGTTCCTTTCGAGACACATCTTCGTCAAACTTCCCGCGCGAACCCCTTCCGACGACACATTAGGTCGAGAACGAGTCCGTTGCACTCTGTAGACATCGCACGCACCGTCGCCGAATAGAGACACCGTGCTTTGAACCGTGACGAGGTATCCAGAGACGTCGAGTTGATTGCTGGTATCTGGGTCATTCGCGACATCACCGAAGCGACGCCTACGAAACCCACGACCCTCTCGTCGACCTACCTCATTTGATCCATTTGCATCCCGTCCCCGCCGCTGTCAAAAGCTCGGCACTGATCGCAAAAAAGTCGCATCGCAAGATACTCGCGCATACCTACCTACTGTCCAGCAGACACTGTAGGGGAGACATTCATTTGTTCATCTCCAACAACTGGTATGCCCTCCTTCCTCTTCTTTCCTGTTCTGTCATGGTCGGCGTACCTTCCTCCATTTGCCTACGCATCTCTGTAGTGCTTTCCCATCAGAGCGGTGGGGCTGGCCGGTGCTTGTGATTGGCCCCCAACCTCTGAACATAAATAATCCTGCATCCTCTACGTTTCCAACACATCCCATCAACACAATATCGCCACGTCTAACACATCTTCACATTAATACAATATCACTTCACGATCGCAATTACTTGAAGCAGCGCTTCGTACTCTTTTATCACTACTACCATCGCTTTGAGACACGAGACTAATTCGCAAGACCTCAGATCTGCTCATATCCTCGGTTTCAGGCCATCATCCATAAATCGCAATCATGGAGGCGATTCAAACTCATCCCACGAGTGCGGCGCAGGCCAAGGCTTTCACCGCGCCTGGCTCCCTCTCGTTCCCCGGCGGCGCCCACGAGCTTCCTCCTCAGGCGAACGGCGATAAGGCGGCCGTCAATGGACAAATCCCTGTGCCCAACGGCCAGCAGCCTGCAAATGGTACCGGGGTGACACCCGCGACACCTGCTGCGACGCCGGCCGCGGCACAGGGTGGCAGTGGCTTGACTCCTACGTTGCAGTATGTATATCATGAGTGATCTCTTTTCTGCTCAATGAGGCTTATCTCGCCTACTCAAGGAACATCGTTGCCACGGTAAACTTGGATTGCCGCCTGGACCTCAAGACGATTGCCCTGCATGCGAGAAACGCAGAGTACAACCCCAAGGTGAGATAATATCTTTTTGACTCAATGTACATATCTGCTAACTCTGAAATCTTAGCGTTTCGCTGCCGTCATCATGCGTATTCGTGAGCCCAAGACCACTGCCCTGATCTTCGCTTCTGGCAAGATGGTCGTCACCGGTGCCAAGTCTGAGGATGATTCGAAGCTTGCGTCCCGCAAGTACGCCCGTATCATCCAGAAGCTTGGCTTCAATGCCAAGTTCACGGACTTCAAGATCCAGAACATTGTCGGCTCTTGCGATATCAAGTTCCCCATTCGCTTGGAGGGTCTCGCTTCGCGCCATCACAACTTCAGCTCTTACGAGCCTGAACTGTTCCCCGGTCTCATCTACCGCATGATTAAGCCCAAGATTGTGCTTCTTATCTTCGTCAGCGGCAAGATCGTCCTCACCGGTGCCAAGGTGCGAGAGGAGATCTACCAGGCATTCGAGATGATCTATCCCGTGCTTCAGGGTGAGTTCCTCCCCGCTCCCTCCGGTTTTCATCCACTAACCCTTCTCCAGATTTCCGCAAGGTCTAAACAGACCCTTGAACACAAGGATAGGTCATCGACCCAGTCGATGTACCACCACCACCATACACAAAACCACCGACTTTGTACGACTAGACAACTTTTTTTCACGATACCACGAACTCTTTTCCGCACACAACCCCAAAAAAAAATCGAGCGTCCGTCACCTGGCAATATGGCCGTGACACAAGTCACTGACGCCCGTTCTGCTCACTTCACATTTTTCCGCTGCATTGCATTGGCGTTGGTACAGGAGGTAACCTGGGCCGGAAATTTCCGGTCAGGTGGTTGATTCAAATGAAAAGAATAAGATTTCTCATTCCGCGGCACTACATAGACTGCTCGTGGCACCGTCGACGGCAGATGCGCAGGTCGACCTTGCCGTTCTTTAATGGACTCGACTTAGATGCATTGGGGTCTCAGACCGGATGGGGGATGAATAACGGGGATGGGACGTCTTGAAGTTGCCTCCTGGACAGTAGGTCGGGAGGGACTGCTGGTGGAAGGGGGAAACCGGTTTTGCAATGAACGTTGCCTAGTCTTAGGTGACTTCACCGATCACTCACGTCTTACTCTACGTTCAGTCTGCGAGTTTGATTGAGTTGATAAGTCGGCATTATCTTTGAGTACAATGCCAATACCCGGTTTCTATTATTCTTGACGCCCAAATCATATCAGCGAACAGTGACCTACGTAGGTATTGGCTGCGTATCTAGCATATTTATCAACATGATATATGTGATAGCAGACCAAGGACATTTGCCCATTTTTTGGTTGCACTGATTTCACAACTACTCCCACGCATATCTCATCCTCTGTGATTCTCGATACTATTCCATGAATATACATTTTCAACAGCTCTATCTCTACGGTTGCTACATGGTATCTACCTACATTCAGCATGTACCTACATCGATATGAATGAACCCGGTTCGATGTGATGTTTCGCGCGTCACTACAACTTGGCTTGCTCCTGCTTCAGCAAAAGACCAGGGATACCCCCTCGGCTCCCGTCCTCCGTCATGATGTGCTCGTACAGGTCCGTCACGTCCGCCTTGCTCTTGACCTCCCTCCACCGCCACTTTTCGGTAAACACCTCGTCGCCGCGGCCCTCGAGGACGTTTACGATTTCGCGACCGAGCACAGGTAAAAACTTGAAGCCGTGGCCGCTGCCGCCGGTGGCGACGAAGAGGTTGCGGGCGGTGGGGTGGTGGCAGACGAGAAAGTCGCCCGTCTGGGTGTCGGTGTACCAGCACAGGCGGGTGTGGACAAAGGGGCGGTCGTGGATGGCGGGGATGGGGACGATGGTGCGGACTGCTTTGCGGAGGGCGGCGACGCCTTCGGCAGGGAACCTGAGGTTCGGGTCTGTGAGGTGGGTTGCGGGGAGGGAGACTGTTGACTTTGTCGAGGACGGTGTTAAGGGCGACGGGTGGGGGATGGCGGTCGGGTTGAGGTAGCCGAAGGCGTGGCGGGCCACTTTGAGTTGCAGTCCCGAGGGGGGAATCATGAAGAGGCCGGTGCTGAAGTTGAGGGTGACGGGCATCTTGCGGAGGACCTCGAGCTCGGATGGGGTGATGTCGATGTAGCCTACGGCCTGGCCCGTGGCGATGGCCTGGCCGGAGAGGTCTACGAGGGCGCCGGTCCAGGCGCCGGCTGCGACGACGACGAGGTCGGCGGAGAGGACGGAGCCGTCCTGGAGGGTTGTGCCTGTGACGGTCGACTTATCGGGTGTGTAGTTGAGGCGGGTCGCGACGCCCGAGACGAAGGTGACGCGGTTGAGGGCCACGACTTTGCGCGCGAGGTAGGACATTGCGGCGCCGGCGTCGGCCCAGCCCGCGAGCGGGTTGATGTAGCCCCATGTACCTGGGGCCTCGGGGGTGCCGAGGTAGTCCTTGATGGCTGTAGGGGTGGGCAACTCCTTAATGATCTTGTCGCCGTCCTTGCCCGCCAGGGAGACGACGTTGTTGTAGCTTTCGCGGACGTATTCGAGCGAGGTCTTCTTGGCCTTTTGCTTGGCGTCGGCGTTGGTCTTTGCTGCTGACGCGGAGGAGGAGGTGGAAAAGTAAGAGGTCGAGGCGGTGGCGACGGGGTCAGCGACGAGGCAGAGGCCGGACTGGCTGTAGCGGCCCTCCGCGCCGAGGTCAGAAGGGTGGGAGGTCTTGCGCCATTCGGTCTGGGCCTCGGCGGCGAGGGTCGCGTAGGCCGGGTCGGCGTAGTCTGCGCGGATGATGCGGGAGGAGTCGACGGAGGCGGCGTCCTCGCTGGGGCCGGGGATCGGAGAGCGATCGAGGACTGTGATCTTTGTGGAGGCGTAGCGTGGGCGCTGGGCGAGCTCGTAGGCTGTGGTCAGGCCAAAGACACCGGAGCCGATGATGAGGATCGAGGAGGGTGCTGGCTCTGTCGCCGCTGCCGCCGCCGAGTCGGAGGGCATCTTTGGGGTCTCGTCTGGTGTTGATGTCTGTGGAGGGGCTATGTCGTGGAGGGAGTTTCGTATGCTATCGGGGCGGGTACCCGGCGCGGGAGCGGGAGGCAGGGAGATCACACGGAGTAGAGGTACTTTTGGAAACTTTCGAAGCCAAAGGGGCAGGAGAGAAACATTACCTTAAGAAATGCGACGGACAGGATAGGACGAAGAAATAATAGTGCGGGTCGATCTCTGGGAGTGGGAATTGGCGGTGCGGAAAGCTCACCGCACGCGGCCACACGTACGAGGAAAGGGCGTTATCGGAGGTCAAATTTTTTTTTTTTCCCTTTCCTCTGCTGGGGAGTCTGGGCTAGGATATCGAATGGGTGGGAGGTCGGTAGCGTCTCCCGACTCCCGGGGGTGAGGTAGGTCTCGCGTCGACTTGCTCGCTGGAAATGGCGTTGGCGGGGTCATTTCATCGGTGTATCGTAAGTTTTTCCTCACCCCCGGACGAGGGACAGACCTGGTAGTTTGTTGGAGTGCGGGCTTGCTTGGCGGGGGCGCCGACCGGTGTCTTTTTCTCCCATTTTCTGCCTTCCCCTGCGACCAAGAGTGGGATGGGGGGAAGTCTGGAGGGGTCATCATGTAAGGTCAATGCCGTTGGTGGGGGGTTCCGCCAGTTGGGAATAGTCGGGATCGGTAAGGTTGGTTTGCAGGTCGGCCGACACTTGCATGAAGGGAAGGGTTTGGCGGTGGGTTAGGTGTTGCGGCAGTACGAGACAGACGTGGTCGCGTTGTTTTTCAACCTGGCTAAGGCTTGGCTTTTCCGATGTAGGCGACAGGTGTGTGGATGTGTTGGTTTTCTTTCTTCTCAAGAGGAGAACGATAATTGACGATAGCTGTGCTGCAGACCGTTGGTTGTCTTGGGCTTCACTCGGCGATGAGCGATGGTTGATGAAAGATAATCGACGTCATCCTTGCTGGCAATGTAATGGCGGGAAATGAAATCAGTGTGCTGGGCTTGTCGGGTTGAGCTCAAATAGCCGCCACTGTCCCCCGACTAAGATTGGAAAACTGCTTCGTTTCTCGTCTGTTGCACTCCCGATTCCAGGCTGGCGCGCCCGCGGTGTTAGGCTCGCTCGGGCAGGAAATTTTCATCTACCAATATCAGGCCCAATGGTCTAGAGGTATGATTCGCCCTTCGGGTTTTAAAACCCTTCAGCATAGCTTGAATGGGCGAGGCCCCGCGTTCGAATCGCGGTTGGGCCCCTGATAATATTTTTTGCCTTTTTTGCTATCCACACGATAATGATTTGATCTATGACGGACGTTCTGACGTAAAAGGCGTCGATACATTGCGAGGCTGAAGGAGAGGGAAGTAACAAACCAAGGAGATAGGAAAGCAAGTAGCAGAAACCAGGCACTCGAAGCCTGGAGCTGGACCGTGTCAAACAGAGGTACCATGTTCCACTATTGGTTGCCATGCATCGCCTGAGCACGCACAGCAAACACGACAGCAGGTCCAGTCAGATATCACATCACCACAAGGCTGACTTAATCATGACCGTTGGGCTTCTAAACAAGGAAACGTCGATGCAACCTGGACCATGGCCAGCCCAGCCCACCTCACTTGCTGCATAGTACGGCTCTTTGTACAAGACCGTATGAATCCTGTTGCTCTTCCCACCGCCCACACCGTGCGGGGTTCGTGGTCGCATCCCCGCTTTCAGCTGTCCCGCGCCGTCTTCCCTGTCTCAAACCACCTCTCATTCACCCAAATCTTTCTTCACAAACAAAATCCCGTCACCCAAAAAAAGACAACCACATATTAAAAAAAAGATGGTGAGATTCGGATCGCCAGTCTTGTATGAGAGACTATCAAAAGAGCTGCAGCTAACATATATTTGATAGGCTGCACAGTTGACTCAAGAGCAAAGGGCGCAATACAAGGAGGTGTTTGACCTCTTCGTAAGTTCACATTCACCCCTCCGAGCTCTCTCCGTCACTTGGGCGGCCTCAATGCCCCTCACTCCCCCTTTCCATCAGGCTGGCAGCGCATTGTGTAGAGCTTGCGCAATCAACTCCCTAAAACCTCAAATCAATCATCTTTACTGACGACTTGTTCGCGCGGAACAGGACAAGGATGGGACAGGTTAGTTTTATAGTCTCCCATGGACCCTTTATTTTTTTTGGTTTGCTTCGCCTCTTTCTATCGGCAAACTGGGGGGGGGGGTCATTGAAACTCGACTTGAACCCTCTTTGGCAGGATGAGCGCGGGAAGAGGGGAGCTGGCTTAGACCCCTTTTATTTCCATCTCATCTTGCTCTTTTCATTTTACACCCTTCTTGTTTTATATGCGATACCTCTATTAATTTTGTTCCCATCCCATCAACGGAAATTGACATTGGCCCTGCAGGTGACATCACCGCCCAGGAGCTTGGCGAGGTGATGAGGTCCCTGGGCCTCAACCCCAGCGACACCGAGTTGAACGACATGGTCAACGAGGTCGACGCCGACAACAACGGCACCATTGACTTCAACGGTGAGTTCGAATCACTTCCGCCCTCCACAAAACCCCCCTTTCCCTCTGGGACATATGCTGACGGACTTTCTCTCCAGAGTTCCTTAACTTGATGGCGCAAAAGGTGCAGGTCGGCGATGCCGAGGAGGAGCTCAAGAATGCTTTCAAGGTGTTTGACCGCGACGGCAGCGGCACCATCTCGGCCGAGGAGCTGCGCCACGTGCTCACCTCGCTCGGTGAGAACATGACTGCGGCCGAGATTGATGAGATGATTCAAATGGCCGACAAGGATGGCGATGGATCAATTGACTGTGAGATAACCCTCATTTCATTTCCTCCTCTATCCCTCAGCTCCAACCTAGCTAGCATAGCTGTATTGAGGGAAGTGGTTGATGTATACTGACTTTCCATTTCCATAGACGACGAGTTTGCCTCGATCATGATGAGAGAGTAAAAGAAAAGGAAAGAAAAAGGGGGGGTTGTGGATTTCTTGGCGATGATATCCATCGTTCAGTATTTTGTTTCTTTGGGTTTCTGGTCCGCTTATGTGGGTAGAGCGAAATCTGCCTAGTTTCTCTTTGGGCCTATGGGTTGGTCTCAACATCTCGATACTCTCATGATGTGGGATCTTGGAATGATCGACAACAAAAACAGCTCGTGTCCCCTTTTTTTGGTTTTCGTGATCGATCTCCCTTCAGGTGTGGCACGTCAATGTTCTTGACGCTGAGCGCAGAAAGGCTATTTCATATGATTAAGGTGAGGAAGTACTAATGTCGCATCGTAATGTTACATGTATTCGAGGTTGTTGAATACCGACATCGCTCGACTGGCTTGTACTTCTCAGGCTACCACGGCGCATCATGGCATACCCCCGTCCTAGGCTCACTTGTCGAAGTTCAATAGGGGTTGCTTAGCAGCTAGATCTCACAGCGGTACGAAAACAATCTGCGGTGATTATGATTTATGAATTCATTTGTTTATCCGACTTGCAGGACGGATAACAGTACGCATCTCGATCAAGGATTCCTCGACTCTCCAGCAGTGATGCACCGACACCCTATCACTTCATTTCAAACCAGCTCGGTTCCAAGAAGCGTTTTCTTCGTAAACCAACAGCTGGGCCCCTTAAGCCACATCTTAGTACAAAAGCCCCCAAGTTACAAGGGCATCTTGCTTTTACCCAGCATATTCCGAACTGACCTTGGCCTCGGTATCGCATCCTATTGATCAGCACCTTTCCTCCGATTGTTCCACAGAACCTTGAGAATGGGATTGTTCTATAACCATGTGTTTATTCTCAGTGAGTGACAGAAGACCAAAGTGCGGGTGTGCTGGATATCCTGAGGATAGGTAGGCGTATTGATCACCGAATTCGGTCCCCAATGTCAAGGAGGAATGATTGCCGGTCAAGTCCCCCGAGTAAGACGGAGATAGCTTCCCTTGATGATGAAGGCTTCGTATGAGCAGATAAGATGTAATTCTCTCAACAAGGTTGACCATGAGCGCAAGAAGCTATGCGTTCTCATTGCGTTCTTCGTGTTTCAATGCGTTTTTCGACACCTGTGACAGGGGACAAGCCGGGTGTCCTCGAGCTCAATACATCAATTCTGATGGACTCTGAATACATGCACCGTGTCAGTTCTTGGACTTTCATACCACAATGTCCGGCCAAATCGTAGGAGAGCTGAAGCGAAGCACCGGCACGTCGTTTCCGCGTGTGTTGAGTGACCTAGCACGCCACAGGTACTGTCAGAGAATAATAATTGGCATTTCTGTCTGATACTGCCGCCGCAGAAGCAGAAATGAAAGTCGTATGGGGTGGCGGTAGTCGAATAGGAGGCTGGAGCAGAGGTTGTCCGAGGGAGATGGTCAACTTGAACGCCAATCTTGAGTCCAAGAAGACTGCTGATGTAGTAGAAGCTGAGTCTTATCTTGAAGACAGATGTCGATGTCGGCACCGAAACTGAACATGAGGAGCCATAGATGAAGCCGGTCTCAGTATCTGATGTAGAAACAGCTGTTGGAGGTGTCAGTGGAGGGTTTCTGCGGGTAGTTGAAGCCAAAGCCAGAACTAGAACTTACCACAGCAACCAGGATTGAAAGTTCCCGCCAATATTCTTCTCTTCTTTTTCCGAGGCTTCCACAGGCTTTGGAGCAGCCAGGCATGTCCGCAGTTTGGCAGTCAGGCCAGCCCGCAGGGAGTATAAAGGCCGGTCTTCTGTCCTCGTTTGAACTTTAGAGAGGCAGTATTGCCGGAGGAAAAAGTTTGGCGGTCTGCTCGGTATTGCCAGAGGATAGCCATCAGTCTGTCGATATGGTTTCGTCTACCCAGCCGGCCAGGCTTGCAACTAGAGTATGGCTCAGTCGCTCATCGCTCTCTCTCTCTCTCTCTCTATCGCTCCAGCTTATTCATTCTGTATCCTCGGGAAATACAAGAGGGTTATGACGCTCATGAGAGCGTTATTGCCGGAGGATAAAGAGGTATTATAAGAGTACTGTTAAATATAAGAGGGGGGGTTAAGAATTAACGAAAGTAAGGGAAAAGGACCCTCTCAACCTGCTGGCGCAGGAAAATAAAACATGATAAAAACCACACCCAAAGGGCAAAAAAAGAAAACACCAGGGAGGGCGGCTGGTCCAGGAGTTGTCGGTATACGACGAGGGATACGAAGGGGGGGGAGGAAGGCGAGGACAGGCCGAAGCCACTGGCGGAGGGTGTCGCGGAGGGAACGGGGGCGATGGACGTGGATGATGAGGACGGGAGCCCCAACACTGGTACTGGAAGAGGGAGGCTGGGCGGGAGAGAAGACGGAGGGATGGTCTGTTGAAGGGGTGGAGGTTGGCCGGTTGTGGGCAGAGCCCACAGACGTATCGATTGTGAGTCTTGGTCGTGTCATCTATACAGTGTTAGCATAAATTCATTGTGCTGTAGAAGAAGAAATAGACAAAGTTGTTATTGAAACTGTCTGCAATCATTGCCTTACCTTGGTTGTTCTGACGTGGTTGGGGAGAGAGAAGAGTTCATGAAATCACAACAAGCAGAAAACTCCGAATACACCAAGGCCTCATGTCCGAGGCGTGAGCCTTCCTTCTATGAAGTTTTGAGCGTAATTTCCTCTGTAGGGCTTCTTTCAAAAAGAATACAGGAACGATGTTATCGACTGGACTATCATTTATTGTTTGTAGACTGCTACCTGCCTCCCGAACGTTCATCTATGACCGAAACCATTCAAGAACGAGGGAGTATGGCCCTATAGAGCTAGCACTTATGCCGGCAACTACCCATGTTACGCTCAGGCTACCATTGTGGCTCGGCTTTGATTGGAATCACCACATCTTGATGTTTTGGTTGATCCCAAAAGGAAGCCGCGTGTGGTGGTTCGGTTCTCCATGACCAGACGGCTTGATCTTGATGAATCAAGAACCCCATATCCATCCCGTTTATATCTTTCACTTCCACGACAAGTTTAGCCCTCCATTTAGGGTCAGGGGAATCGTCTTGGAATCCAATCTGGCCCTCCCAATTTCCCCAAGGATTCTTGTTGCGCTCTTTTTCCCATCTTGAGTATTCACTCCAATGAGTGACCAAGATGCGATATTGGAGGCGCCAGAAGTCGAAGATGCTGTAGATGAATTGAAGAAACCAATTGTCGAAGAAGATGGTTCGTTGAACAAAGCTTTCCCGCCACTGCATGAATTCATCAATGGTGTCTACCCGCGGTTGGAGATATTCCCTGCTTGGAGGTGTCGGTCCGCGTTGAGAAGCTGTGTGGTACATTAATCTCATCCAGTCGGTGCGTGCTATGAGCTCGAATGGACGGGTGGGACCTCCATGTCCTTCTTCCTGAACGTGTTGGGAAAGAACGTCGTTCGAGTTGGCTGCGTTCATGTTGTTGAGATGTATGGCAGGGTCCATCTTGGAATTGCAAGGGCGCGATGTATTGAAGGGCCTCTTGATCGGATGCGGTGCTGCCGCAGATATAGAGAAAGATGTGCCAGGGAAGGGCTAGTGGTATCAGTCAGTATCTCTGTCGTCGAAAGGGGTTCGGGGCAGGCATTATTACGAGAGTACTGGGATGGAGAAGGTGATATGGTGACATGTCAAAAGTCAGGTTCTGTCGCAGGTGCATCCTTCTGTATATTCAAGAGAACACCGCAACTCCATAAGCTACTGCCTAGATTACATGGCGCCCCATGGTGTGTCATCCGCAGGGGTTCTTCGTGGCTTGAAGCATCCGCTGAAGATGCGAACTTAATATCACATCGCATCGTATCAGCAAGTAGACCGCAGGGTGAAGTACACAAAAGGTACGAAGTCAGGAAAGTGTGGCTCAATATGGGTCAAGCCACAGCAGAAAGTGGCAGTGAACAGGGCAGTGCGAGGATTCCATGTGCATCCTTCCAACACGGTGCACACCGCGACAGGTCCACGGACACACTTACAGAGCGCTGCTGCGCTGAACTTCTTTTCCAACTTCACAAATACCGTCAACTGCGATCTTCGACTGCGCGCCCCCGAATCCGAAGATTCCCATCGATTCTGACTATGCGACAAGAAGCTTCACAGCTATACCGGTAGCGATGTCATCGGCAAAAGACCTCGTCGAATTTCCCGACGTGGAGGCGAAGCTCCAGAAACCATCCAAGCAATCCGCGTTCGAGAAACAGAGAGCCGAAGCCGAAGCTAAAAAGGCCCGCGAGGCTGCCGAGACCGCCGCGGTATACCAGGATTTTGTCAAGAGTTTTGACCACGATGATGACGACGACCCGAGAACCGGCCGGTTTGGCTCAATGCCTTCACAAAGACCCCAGCCCAAGGTCCCTGGGTTTGGCGGCGCTCCGTTGGGCGCACCTGCACCATCTAGGCGACACTTTGGCGCATCCAATCCCAAGAGCGGCCCAGGTAGTCTAGGTCCTACACCGAGCTTCAAGAGCGGTCCGGGAAGCTTGGGACCTCCGCCTGGCTCACTTGGAAGGAAGAGGGGCTTCGACGCATACCGGCAGGAGAGGGACAGAGATGGCCGGCTCGGGTTCGAGGAAAGGGAGGAACCGAGTTCGGTCGCAAAGGTCTTCCACAACAGTGACGACGAGGACGAGGCCAAATCAGACTCGAGAGCCGAGGAAGTCGCCGTGGCTAGACCCACGTTGCGTCTTTCTCAGCTGCCGCCTGGAACATCGCCTGCCTTCATCAAGTCACTGATCCCGACAAGCCTTAATGTCGAACACGTGAAGATTTTACCGCCTATGGGACCTTCGGGCACGGAGAAGAAATGCGCCGTGGCCATTGTCACACTATCGCCAGATACGCCGGCAACAGAACTGGATGCAGTTGTGAGCTCGCTACAAAATCGCTACCTGGGTTACGGCTGTTACTTGTCGTTGCACCGGCATCTGTCCTCAACAGTAGCAACCGCGGCAACATCGACTCTGGGTGGCACATCTGCCGGGTCCCAG